CCGGTCTCGTACAATGGCCTCATCCAACGGATCTCTAAGCAAAGTTTCGCGACTGGTAGGTAATTTTGTCTTAATACGACGACCAAAGAATAATTGTGCGGGCGACAATCGCATGTTAGCAACGGGTGTCACGTTATATTCGAGCAATCGATATGCAAAGAGTTCTACCTCATTAGCCTCATAGCAACGCTTGAGTATGTTCTTTGCTATGGCCACCCCCTTCTCCGCTAGTCCATTACTTTGAGGGTAGCGAGGGCTAGAGTACTTGATTATAATGTTTGTGTCGTTTGCAAATTTATCGAATTCTAATGAGTTAAATGGGCTGTTATCGCATCTGATCTCCGTTGGGTATCCATAACGACAGAATATTCCGTGAAGGCTATCTATAATATGACGACAAGTTTTACTTTTAATTCGTTCGGAACAGACAAATCCTGAGTAAGCGTCAATGAGAGCTATAAAATCAAGTCCTGCATATTCATACAGATCAATTGCGATGCGATGGAAGGGATACTCCGGATGAACATCTTGCTTGAGTGGTTCCTTCTGGTTATTTCGTGTAAATTGTTCACACACGACACAGTCCTTGACCGCTTCCTTAATGTCATTAGTCATGCCAGGCCAGAAAAACTGCTCTCTGGCTCTGGCCACTGTTTTTTCGATACCCAGGTGAGGGGCATGTACCCATTTGCAGATTTTTGACTGTAACTCCGTCGGTATAACTAATCGATGATCCTTAAATAAAAGGCTATTTTCAAAATGTAACTGATCCTTATATCTGTAAAATGTTTGTGAGAATTCATCGAGCTTGTGGTATGATGGCCATCCATCAACAACATATTTCACGACCCTTGAATATCGTTCATTACCTTTTAACGTATTTTTGTAGAGATTGTAGTTCTCTTCAGAGAGACACACTTGACGAGTGACGGAGTGAATAATTCCAGATAACCCAAGTGTGTCTGGTCCGGCAGCGTCAACAGTAGCACGTGACAAACAATCCGCGACATGCATATCCTTACCAGGAGTGTACACTATTGTTAGTCCAGGATATTTGAGCAAGTGTAGAAACATGCGCTGCAATCTAGCAGTCACATCATCAATGTCTTGCTTTATCAGCGACTCAAGCGGCTTGTGATCTGACTGAACTGTAAATTCGCGGCCATAAAGGAAGTGGTGAAACCGCTCACATGCGAAGACTATAGCCAGGGTTTCCTTCTCAATTTGAGCCCATTTCTGCTCACTGGCGGTGAGGCTGCGTGAAGCATACGCGACTGGTTGGCCGTTTTGTAGAAGAACGCTTCCTAACCCGTCTTTTGAACTATCAGTTTGTATGACAACAGGCTCGTTTGGATCATATATCCGGAGTGCAGGCTTAGTTGTAATGGACCGTTTAAGATCAGCTAACTCCTTTTCATGATCAGCTGTCCACAACCATTGACTACCGTTCTTGGTTAGTTCCCGCAACTTGGCTGATCGTTGCGATAAGTTTGGAATAAAACGGGACAAGTATTTGAATAGTCCAAGCAGCCGCATAACTTCAGGTTTGTCCGAAGGTCGGGACATCTTGAGGATGGCATCCAAGTATTTAATATCGGGAGATATGTAGCCGTTGGTTATATGATAGCCCATGAATTTAACGTTTGACCGCCGGTATTGAATCTTGTTTGGATTGAATCTGATGTTGTTTGCTCTAGCCCGTTGCAGCACAATAGCAAGTGTGCGATCATGCTCTACTAAATCAGATCCCGAAATGGCTATATCGTCAAAATATATTTTAACACCCGGAATATCTCCGAATATCTGAATCATTTTCTTCTGAAACATTTCTGGTGCGCTGTTGAGTCCGAACGGAACGCGATTCCAGCGAAAGCGTCCAAAAGGCGTCATAAATGTAGTCAGATCAGAGCTCTTACGATCAAGCTCCATTTGCCAAAATCCATTACTAAGATCAAGTACAGTAAAGATATGTTTACCCGATAATTGGCTCACAATGTCTTCGGCGGTTGGTATTAGAAAGTGTTCTCGCTTGATACACATGTTGAGTGGCTTAGGATCAAGGCAGATCCGTAGGGAACCATCAGGTTTTTCAACTATTTGCATGTTGTTTACCTAGTCTGTTGGATAATCCACCGCACTGATGATGCCCTGTTCTGTCATAGACAATAGCTGTGCCTTTAGCCGGTCAATGAGACTCAGGGGAACCCGTTTCTTGTAGTGCAATGAAGGTGTAGCGCCATCCTTGAGGATGATCGAGCAGGTGCCTGGGAATCTGCCTAGACCCTCAAAGATGTCTTTATTTTCCTGTACAAATGTTTCGACATCAGAAGGAAGGTTGTTTAATGCATTAACAGCGTTGAGTCGTTGAATTAAATTAAGATGAGTCAATAGGAATGTTTAATCTTTTAATGAGACCAATTGGAATGCAATTGACATCCGATCCTGTATCCAGCTTAAATTGAACGCTCTGGTCCTGTATAAGTAACGCTTTCATCCATCTGTTTCTACCTCCACCAGCACCAGAATTAGAATTTACTCTATAATTACAATGTTTAGTCTTAATTACTTACACTAGATGCATTGCCTTCCTGATCTACTAAAGTTAAGTTAGCATTACCTAGCTCGCCCCAATTGACGCTTTTAACAGAGTTTTCTGATGACTTGTGATCCGATGACTTTGCCGGCTTGGCGACAGCAGGCTGCTCCGAGCGGGTTTCCTTTTTTTCTCCCTTGCAAAACTTTTGGAAATGTCCTATTTTTCCACACTTATTGCAGTTAGCGCCAATTGCTGGGCAGTAACGACGATGTTTTCCATTGTACGGTTGACCACAGTTCCAGCAATTGTTAGTACGTTTGATTGCAGCGATGTCTGATGACTCTCCATTGGATTGTTTAACAGCGGATTTGACTTCTGCTGAATTCCCTTAGTTACGGTCCAGCAGTTGTTTGTTGGCGGTAGCAGCCTCGAAAACTTTGCAGGTTTCTATAATTTTTGGTAAAGGCTCATCCTTGCCATCCAACAACTTCAATTGTAACTTCTTGTCTTGCACGCCAATAATGATACGATCACGCAGTATACGATCAGCGTACGATGTACGACAGTTGGCGCACTCGTATTCACAGTATTGTAGCTGAGTACGAAGTTCCGTTTCAAAGGCACCAAATGACTGCTTTTCCTTTTGTATAATCATATTAAATTTAAACGCTTCCATTGCGACATTTTTCCGTGGCAAGCAATACTCATCAAATGCTTTAATGACATCTTGCAATGTCCGCTGGTCAGCGACGGTTATCCCCGGTTGATCAGCGGTAGCGCCGGCAGCGGCTTGATTTTCCGGCACTCTCACAGGTTCCGATGCTGGGCCGAACATGCCTTCATAGCTTCCATTGTTTGGGAATAATGTGTTAAAATTCTCCACACCTTGTGGACCAATCAACCATAAAAAGGTGGCAATTTTGTTTTGTTCACTCTCGCCTATTTTGTTGTTCGCAATCAGATATATCAAAAATGTTTGCTTCCATCTGGGCCATTCTTTTGCTAGGTTAGCACAATCAAACGACTGAGGCAAGCGCAAATCCATATTCGATGCCATTTATCTTATTTTTTTTACTTCTGACACCATGTAATAAGTTTGTTACAAGGTTATACTTGAGTTCTTTATTCGTCAAGTACAGTACAATTTCTGACGTAAATAATCATATAGCAGTACCTCTCGTCTACTTAAGCACAGGCATAACATAACAGATGGGCCACTCAGTTAATGACAACTACAAGAAGCATAGGTTAAGGCAACGCACCTAACGCCATCTCGTGAACCACTGCACGTAGAATTGCCGGTGGAATTCAAATATTATTACAGGAAGAAAGGAGAGTAAGAGGGAGGTAGGATGGAAAGGTGAAAGGAGGGGAGGAATTAAGGAGGAACGTGATTATAAGGGTTGAGAAGGAGAAATGGGGAGGTAAGGAGTCAAATTGAGAGAAGACGAGGACAGGTCGGTGGAGGCGAGGGACAGAGAGAGAAGGGAGAGGGAGGAGAGATTAGAAAGAAGGATGGAGGAAAGCAGAAACGCGGAGCGGGCGGAGGAGGACGAACTAACGAGAGGGATGGAGGAGAAACTCCTGATGACTTCAGACGAGGAGAAGGAGGACAAGAGGAAGGGGCTGTAGGACGAAGGGGGCGAGGCGAGACAGGAAGGATCGAGGCAGAGCGACGAAGACTCTGAGGAAGCAGAGAAGACAAGAGGGGGTGAGGGGAGAAACGGGGAGGGAGGGTAAAAGAAAAATGTAAGGTTGCAAATGGCCAGAATGAAGGGTTTGTTTTTCTATTTGTAGAGGTTTAGGTACGTTCCTCAGTAAAGAAAACGCCTTGTAAACCCTACGGGGATAAACAATAAACCAATACAATACAATACAATAATAAAAAAGTATTTGAAATATAAAGTACAAAATATGCGTGATTAATATTCCTTCCATTATACATACGTTACATTACATACATACATACATACATACATACATACGTATATTATATTACATACATGGACTTGGTTAGCGGATGTGGACGAGTGAGTGTCAGAGAGTGTATGAGTGCGATAATTCTAGCGAATATTTAGAGTAGGTGATAGTTTGTTAATGTGCCTGGGGAGAGGGCGAGTTGAGAGGGGTGGAAGCGGCGTAAATGAGGGGAAGATGCGAAAAGCGACAGAGGCGAATAAGCAAGAATTAAAATAGGGAGTCAGAATAGGTTAATGTAAAATAAAATAGCAACACGCGGTAGGCACGGTTAATTTACAGAGGTAGATAGGAAGTCGAATCGGTAGGACAGGTGGTGACTCGCGGCGGCGCGCGGCGAGTGTAGGCGGTACTAGGCAGGCGTGCTTAAGCTCCGTCTACATGTCGAAAAAAGTACAAAGCACAGGCAAAAAGAAGACCGCTAGGTAACTGAAAGAAAGGGAAAGAGCAGATTCGTTGAGCATACTGGATTATGTACAAGGTGGAGATAAGGAGAAGGAGAAGGAACATAACAAGAGGAAACGAGAAGAGAGGGAGAGACTGGCGGATAAAATATTTAAGAAAAATAATATGATGGATAGAACACCACCAGGTTTGAAGCAGACAGGAGAGTAGAGGAAGATAAAGAATGAAGAAGGAACATTAATGGGGATGCTGAGGGAACTTAAAATAGAAATGGTAGGACTGAGGAACAAGATAAAGGAAATAAAAAAAAACTGTTGAAAGTGGATAGAATGGAGAAGAAGCTGGTGGAGATGGAAGAGAGAATGAAAGAGATGGAAAGACGGAGAGGAGAAACCGGAGTTGCTATAGGAGAAAATATAGAAGAAATAGTGGAGAAAGTAGCGGAATTAGTAAAGCAAAATAAAGGAAAAATAGAGTCGCGAGATGGGAAGGAGGAAGCAAAGGACGAAATAGGACAAGAAGTTAGAAGATTGAAAAGAATAATAGAAGAAAAAGAGAAAAAAGAGAGAAGGAACAAGATAGTAATAAAAGGGTTGAATACAAATACAAAGACGAGAAGTATAAAAGATGTAGCTAGGAAATTTCTAGAGCAAGAATTTAAGGTAAAAGAAAATGTAAAGAGTGTTTAAACCGTGGGAATGGAAGGAAGAGAAGTGGTAATAATAGAATTGGAGGACTGGGAAATCAAAGAGAAAATAATGAAAGAGAAGAAGAAATTAAAGAACAAATATGTAGGCAGAATCTATATTGACCATGATATGACGAAGACGGAGAGAGAGGTGCAGAGAAAAATAAGGGAGTATGCAAGAATAGAGAAAGAAAATGGGAAGATAGTTAAAGTAGGATATAAAAAGATGAATATAGGAGAAAAGCAGTATGTGTGGAGCGAGGAAGCAGAAAAACTAAGAGAAAAGAAAAATTTCTAGATGGTTGCTAAGTTAGGAGAAGAGAACCAGTAAGTTATGGCATTCAAGATGACAATAGGCAAACAACACGAATGGAGGTCGGAAAAGTGAAGCAGTTGAAAAAAGATAATTTTTTGGAATGTAGCAGGTATCGAGAGGCAGGACAAAGATTTTTGGAATTACATAGTAAGTTTCGATTTTATAGGGTTATGTGAAACATGGTTAGAGGATAAGGGATGGGATAGAATTAAGGGTAGACTGCCGGAAACGCACAACTGGAAAAACATTAACATTGTAAGGAAAAGGAGGAAGGGTAGGGCGAAGAAAGGTTTACTAATAAGTATTAGAAAAAATTGGGGGTCGAAAGTGGAGAAAAATGTAAGTGTAATGATTACAGAAAGAATTGCGCGAACGTGAATAGTAAAAAAGGAAAAAGGACTAAATATTTTTACAGTATATAATGTAGGAGCAAAGAAAGATGTTGAAGAGATAATGGCGAAAATAAAAGAACAATGCGAAATTATTTAAAAAAAAAATTTTTTTTAATTTTTTTAAATATGTAAATAATTCCTACGGCACTTTTTATTTATATCAATTGATTTAACAATGTTCCAAGTACATTTGGAAATTTTTTCAAGCTGATTGCACTCGTCAATTTAAAATGGTAGACAATCAAAGTGTGTGTGGACGGATATATCGAAGCCATCAATCACTTATGAATTTATTCAACTTGTGTCTAAATCACGGTCGTCACTCGGTTTTAATCGGAATACCGAGAAAGAATTACTAATGAATGAACATGCAGATCTCTGACCTTTTGATTTTCCCTCGCTAATTCCCCCTTTCTCTTTCTGTGGCTGGTTCCTCCTGGATGCCGCCGGATCTTGGATCACCGCTGAACCACGCTTCGGTGCCCCGTCCTATGCAAACATCGGCGCGTTCGCAAACAACTTAAAAGCCATGCCGCATTTTTAATCTCATTGCCGTCGCTGGACTTTAACCATACTTCCGTTGGTTTTTCTCCCGATTGGCTTATGGCCAATTTCTTCACCGTCGGATAACTCTATCCTTCGGTTAACCTCACTCTTCATCTTTTTCTAAGGGGACAGTTAGAAAGAGATGAAGAGTGAGGTTAACCGAAGGATAGCGTTATCCAACGGTGAAGAAATTGGCCATTAAACATGATAGGCGTATCGTATCACGCAAAATAAATGATTCGA